GCGGTGGTACCATACCTCTTGCAGACAGCTTCTTAGTGTTGATGATTTTTGCAGCATATTCCTGTCCTGACGACTTCTTTACACACCTACGCACCACTGAAAAAGCTCCCCTAAGAAAGAAGAACACAAACGACCCAAAATCAGTTCCATTTCACATGATCGCCTCTCACACATACACAGAGTGTGACATTTGAAACTGCACCTCTGTGACAGTGGTTTGTTTTTGTGTATGTTGGCAACCTCTCTCTCTCTCACACACACACACACACACACACACACAGAGAATTAACAGTCATTACTATCAGACTTTTCTCCAGCGCGATTGCTGATACGAGGTCTTAAGATTATAAATGAACGTCCAAAGTACTTGTGCTAATCTTTGATAGGCAACGCAACCTATAGCTCCCAGAATCGGCTGCAGCTCACACAACAATGGGCCATATTTAATAAATCCACAAGGTAGGAACACTCAGTTATAAATCTGCTCAAGCAGAAAAGGAAGTGCATAACGCGCCATAAAACAACTCCTACTGAGGAGTTTCATATTGACCTAGATGAATGCTCCATATTTTTCACCTGCTCGGGCCGATTGTTCAGTTTTGAGCATCACAGAACGAGCACATGATACTCGCAGCGTATATCACAGCCTGTGCAACCTGCAGTATCTGGCCCTACGCAGTTTTCTTGAAAGGAGGATGGCTGCCTGTTTTTTTTTTTACTACTCCTGTTGATCTATGGAGGGCTGCTACTTTCTGCTGCACTCTGCTCCTTCCACTCCTGCTCTTAGTTTCAATTATTTACCAGTAAATTAGAGGTGACAGGTGACTGAAGCACAAGTCAGGGCCTTGACGTTAATAACCTATGACGGAGCAAAATGCATTAACAAACGGGGGCAGAAACATAAGCCGGGGTGTAAGTGGTCAGCGTACAGCACAATCAGGAGCAGAAGGGAGGCTCGGATACACTATGGAGGATGTGTAGGTGTATATATATATATATTTATGTGTGTGTGTGTCTTAGTGCACTGGTGGTGCAATCAGTGCCATCGATTACTGACAATTATTCTGCAGAGTGGAAATGGCAGCTGGAAATTAAGGCCAGTGCATCTTCATAGTCAGTGTCGGCCTGCTGCCGCTGCTTTGGGTACAACAGAGGAGGATATATATATATATAAATATATATATATATAAAAAAATAAAGCTTGCCTTCGCCGGCCAAGAACAACAGATGCTGCTGATGATGAAACAGAGGAGGTAGTGGCCCGGTTTTCTTGCCGTCATCAAAATACCGAGAAAACACGTCACTGCCTCTTACACAGTAAACGCCACAAATGCAGCTACAACGATTAAACACACACACACACATAGCAATGCATTTATTGATAACATGATGATCGGAGCAGCTGGTATGTGTGTGTGTGTGTGTGTGTGTGTGTGGGCATTACAGTGCAAACATAAACGCAGCCTGGACCGAATAACTTCCTCATTAAGTGATCCAGGGGTACGTAACGTTTTTCTCAACACGGTTACACAAATCATCTGCAGCTGCTCGGCGGAAAAAAAAAAAACACACACACACACACACACAGAAGGCAACCTTACACACACACACAAAAAAAAGTGGTCGGCCTAGTTAGCTTGCGACCACAGAGCCTCTGGTCTATCGAAAGCAGCGCGGAGCTGTCAGAGCCGTGGGCCGGTGAAATGTCACCAGTCTCCGGCAGTCTCTCGAGGGGGCCCCGCTGACCAGAAAATACCGGCGAGCAAAAACACGGAAGGGCTAACAGCTGTTAACACAAACCCCGTATTAAAAGAGGGTATTCATCCACCTACCCTCCTACCCCTTACCCGTTACCCCCACACACACACACACACATATTAAGCCTGAGTAAAGTAAAAAAAGACGCAACGGACTAACTCGGCTGCGTTTATCAATATCAGTTGGTAGCTCGTTTCGGGCCACCAACTGACAACCGTTGGTGCGCCCGTTACTGCGGGGAGCTGCTAGTTAGCAACGGTTAGCAACGGTTAGTAACGGTTATTTCAGCCCCGACTTGCAGCCACAGACGAGCCACAGACGAGCCACAGACTCCAGCTTACACACTACAGACGCTTTAACACAGCGCTCGGCGGTATTAGTGTTGCGGGCTATTCTGGCTAGCTGTCGCCCGCTAGCTCGGGGCTAACCAGATATATATATAATGTGAAGGCGAGGTTGCGGGGGTGGGAGGGAGAGAGGGAGAGAGGGAGAGAGAGAGAGAGGGGGGACAGAAAAAA